GCAACTTCCGGCATCCCTGCTGTAAATCCTGTATTTAGTTTGTCCTATTAAATATGTTCTCACCTCCTTGCCAATTGTGAGTTGTGACCAAACTTTTCATCTGACGACCAGATATTTGCCAAAGCTGATATAGCCTAATAGCCTTGATGACTGAGGAAAATTTTAAATAATAAAGTTATTCAAAAATCTCTGTGATCAAGTATCCATATATGATATTGCATTCTGCTTTTGCATATAATTTGAAAACATATTTTAATATGTTTATTAAAAACAACTGTTTCTTCATGATCTCTATGTAGAAAGAGGAAATTCCGATAGTACATGATGCCCCAAATATGGAAATTCTCCGATATTCCAATAATAACCATTATCGAAGGACCAATATTTTGCCGATACTGACACCGATATTCCATGTCCTTTAACAAAATTCAAAAATGACATAATCAATTTTCCGATACCGATATTTCTATTTTAGTACTGGTAAGCTAATACCAATCAAATTACCGATATTTATATTTTATAGTAATACACCAAAATGGATATTGGTGCATCGATCACTATAAATTCCAACCCCTCTAAATGCTCTAATACTGTGACCGCCCACACCCACTTTTAGAGGTACTGGAAAGCTAGAAGTGCTAAATTAAATGTTGACGTACTGTACTTTTAGTATCTACATCACAGATGCATTTCTTATAGCATATTACACTGTAAAGTCAGAAGATCATCTGTATTCAAATATTATATAATAATATATCTCTAAACTGCAGGATACATGAAGCAATTCAAAAAAAGAAAGTTAATGAAATGGACAGCATTTTGTTGGATCTAGATCACAGATATGTATGTATAACAACATTTAATTAATTTCCATTTTCAAATGTTTCATTGCTGATTCTTTATGTTGCTACCAAAGAGACATATTTTGGGTGATCATTTTTTATTTCTACAGGAATATACCCCCATTCCTTTCAAATTATTCCCCCAGTCAAATCAGCATTTTGTGGTTAACCCAATCTATTAAACTCCCTCACTCTTGGAACTGTAGAACTGCCATGTATTTAATCTTTATTCAAAGGTATAAATTCAACATTTCGGGGAGTTTTACTGCTCATTTGCAGTCTTTTTAATACTAATTTAAATAAAAAATGCGGAAAAAGTTGAACTTTTTGGAAGAACAAGTAAAATAACTTGTTTTCCAGTTTTCAAAATTACCTTTAGGTTTTAAAAATTAAATCTCAATTCTAAATTTCTTTCAGGCACAATTCAATGATGAAGGTCGTTTTATCCACTATAATATGTTCAACCATCATTTTTTTGAGGAGGATTTGGCCAAGCCACTTCTTCAAAACTTCTTTGAAAATTCCAAACTAAACTCACTATTGGTTGTATTGGATCCACCATTTGGTGGACTGGTTGAAGTTTTGGCTGCAAGTGTCAGGAAAATATGGAAACTTGCTGATTGTAATAAGGACTATAAAGGTAAAATAAAAAGTATCTAATATGTTTTGCACAAATGATTTTCTCATTTGGTAAGACAAGTGCAGCTCTAGCCAGAGTTTTTCAAATCGAGTTAAATTCCTGATTTTTTGACAAAATTTGGGGTTGAAGTTTTGAAATAGTTTTGAACTTGTAGTAGACCAGTTGAGTTGATTGCAGAAATTTGTCAGTCGAAAATGTATATGCAGTTTACAAGTAACAACATAAAAAAATATGCCTGCATGGCTATATGGTGGGAATTGAACCTTACAACCTTTGGAATATTTAGCAGCTACTTGCAGCTCTGCCAACTGAGCTACGTGGTCAGGTAGAATTGTAGACTGTTCTTTTTGCTATTTGCTAAATCTGATAAAAATAATTCTACCTCTGAGCGGTCAAAATAATTCTACCTCTGAGCAGTCAAAATAATTCTACCTCTGGAGACATCGTATGAAACATTAAGCCTATAAGTTAAATTAACCTATAATAACATTGCAGAATGCAGATAAGAACTGTTATAAATTAGATCAATTTCAAGTTAGTTTTAAAATAGTTTTGAACTTGCAGTTGACCAGTCCAGGTACGTACGTTGATTGCGGTGACATTGTTGTAATTCACACCTGAAGAATCTCAATAAATGTGTAAAAACTCTGAACTGCATTCTATAATCAAATTTTATTTGTCTCTTGTATGGTATAGATTCGGAGGGACCTTTAGAACTGCCAACGTTCTGGATTTTTCCATATTTTATGGAAAGTCATATTGTGGAAGAAATGCCATCGTTTAACATGTGTGAGCTGAAGGTATGGGGTGGAGTATATTTATTCTTGAACGATCTATGACAGTAATACATAGTAATAGCCACGCACTAACATCACTTTTGAGACAAATGGCCTTTGGGAGGCTTCGCTCGAAACGTCGAAGTTCTCCTTGTACGAAATGCAGTACTTGTCACATATACTGGATTTAACTCGACCTGATCAAATTTATATACATTCATTCATTCATTAGAGGTCCCTAGTAATAATCGACCCTGCGGGCCTCAGCAATTCAACTACAGCACTCTAACCAACTTAGCTACAGAGTCCAGTAGACGAGCTCTAGTACATATATTTTATGACTCAATGTTTTAATTCTTTGTCTAGGTTAACTATGACAATCACCCGCTATATAAGAAACGACACAGTTCCAGCGCTAAAACATCACCTGTCAGAATATTTACCAACGTTCCACTACGAGATATCGTTTTGCCTGAAGACGAAGGTTATAGGTAAAGTTGCATTAAATATGTTATATGTTTAGATCAGGGGCATGGCAAATAACGGTCAAGGGGAGGGGTGTGCCCTCTATGGGTGTGCCATATGAGGGTGACCATTTTTTTTCATATTGTTTTTTTAATCCTAATGTATATAGATACTGTGAAAAATGCGAACGTTATGTGAGTGAGAGCAATGTACACTGCGAGCTGTGCAACGATTGTACTTCAAAGGTAATGATTAGTTTAAAGAATCTGATGCTGTAAACTCCGTAACGTTTACAATAGTGCTGCAGCTGTAAAATATTAGATATGTATTATACTGAATTTGTAAATGAATACACACTATAGGATTCAATTCAAGAAAGTTCGGAAGTTGCGAAATATTAATAACATTCCAATGGTTGGGTCCCGACCATTGGAATGTAGGCTTACATGTAAACACACTTCACAGTAACTTTGATCTATATGGACCGCTCTGAGGTGAACGGAAAGTATTGACAAAAATCTAGAGCTGAGGGTTAGTTGTATGCTGAATGCCCAAAGGCTGCGAGTGTGGCGGCTTCTCTTGTGTGTGGATAAAGTTGTTGTAAGGATTTAACTTTTCAAACCTTGAGGAAAATACCTGTTTAGCTGTATTATTGCTAAACATGCCGTTTTTGAGAATTTGATTTTCAACTAGGTTGAGGCATCCAACCACGCCATCAGTCCCAGTAAAAACATTAGGTCACGTCAGCTAGTTTCCTATCCATTTATTTTATTATCCATGATTTCACATCGCGAAGAAAAGATCTCAACGTCTGTAGATGCTTAGCTGCTTAAATTAACTGACCAATGAAAACACATGGTTTCATCACGTGAATTTAGTCAAAATGACAAGAATTTCTGCAAAGTGCAGGGCGTGTACCAGGGTTGCCAGATTGCTGAGCAAATAAGCCAAACATTGTTATAAACGGCTCTTTGATGTCTTTGTTTTGAACAAAGAAAACAAAAAGTTAGGCTAATAATATTTGCCTTATTTATTCAGCAGTCTGTGAACACTGGCCGGACGTCATCGCCACACTGGATCTAACAAAGGGCCGTGAATAAATTTGTTCAGAGATCCCGTTCGTTGCTCTTAATCAGGATAGCGACTAAGTTGATTAATATTTTACATTACAGGATGGTCGCATTTGGTTACATTGTAGTTTGTGTAACAAATGCGTGAAAAAAGGTACAGTAACAATTATTCACCTTATGCATAATGACGTCACAAGGGTTGATGCCCACGAGGAATGCTGATCTTGGTAGTCATCGCCTGAGAATGTCCTGAATTCTCGCCTGTCTGAGAAGTATCCAGAGCAATTCACGATAACAAAATAATAACTTTAAACTAGAAGTTACTATCGCAAGGAAAGTGCTGTCTCACCACCAAGGGATCAAAGGCAATTATAAAATAATAATAATTATTTTTATTATTTTATAATTATTTTATTATTTAATAATTATTTTAATTGTAATTATTTTTTAATAATAATAATTATTTGCTGCGTAATTGGCAATTCCAGCTTTTAGTTTATGCGTGCAGGGGATGATAGGAACTAAGGTATCATATTGCCGATTATGCTGAAAAAATGTCAATAAAAACTACCGAAACAACCGAAATATTTACAAGTATAAGCTATCACTCCGTGTTTACACAGCCACCATTTTTATTTTTTCAGCATAATCAACAATGTGATACCTTACTTCCCATCATCCCCTGCACGCACAAACTAAAAGCTGGAATTGCCTATTTGCTGAATAAGGGGCTGTTTATATGATACCACTTTGCCAGGATGAGATATAAGGCGGCATGATTTGGATGTATTGAAATAAGTCATGGTGCATAATTCAGCAAAAATCTTCATTAATTTCTAGAGATAGATTATAGTTACCTGTAAATGAAAGGTTGTTCAAGCAGCAATAATAATCTTCTTGAACTACAAGATCTTTTCTACAATATTTGAGTTCTCTTAACCAGCATTTGAACTATCGTTCGGCCTATTGACTTATTTCAATACATGAAAATCATCCCACCTTAGCACCTTCCATCAGGTAAACAGCCCCTAAGATGCCTATTCAGGAGGTAGGAAAAGTGCAATAATTTGAATATCAAACACCTTGCACAAAGTTAAAGGTCAGCTAAATATTCGAATTCTACTCTCTTGGCATGGGCGATTTTATACGAATACCTATGCTTATAATTTGTTGCTTCTGTGTGTATAATTGTAATATTGTCGGTGGTGAAGCTTGCCATAGCAACAGGTCATGCTATGCAAGTTTTTAATGATTTGCATTGCAGGCTTATTAGCATAGCATGACCAGTTGCCATGGCTAGCTTGCCACTAATACTGTACAATACCATATGTATAAACAAGAATAATCACTTGAATGAATCATTGGACATGTAGAATTCAATAACAATTCATATATAGAAAAACTAAGTCAGTTTTTGTCGCAATTATCGTTTTAATGGCACCATCAAGGCTACCCCTGTTGCAGAACAACTGAACAATCTGCTGATGGGGAGACAAAATCTATTTGTTGACATTTTTGTTTAACACGTCAGCTTCAGATGACACCATTCATTTGTAATGACTAAGATTGTACTCAGTAAGAACTGCAAAACTATATAATAAGAACGAAATTGTGAGCATTATCGAAAAATATAGTATACCCTGTCACCCTGAAATGTAGTGACACAGCCAGGTGAATATATGAGTAGGCCGGTAGGATCATTTCATATTGTGCTAACAATGGACATACCTCAGAGATATAAACATACCATCATACCTTGTACAAAAGTCAGTTGGCTATTACATGTAAGTTGTAACTGCTGGTTATTATTATTGCCTTTATTTATAGGGTCCGCTAAAGTATATGTACAAAGTCTAATTATATATATATATATATATATATAAATATATATATATATATATATATATATATATATATATATATATATATATATATATATATATATATATATATATATATATATATATATATATATATATATATATATATA